ACTTTTTGGCATACAGTGACGCTGGATATTGGAATTTCCGTGTGGAAAGAAAGAGAGTTTCAACGCCTGTCATACAGGCAAGCCACGAGTGTAACACTAGAAGCAGGTGCATTGGGTGACTTTTTTTTAGCGCATTTTCTCATTTATGGAAAAAAAGCGCTATGGTGCTAGTCATGTCCGTTCATCTGTCTGTCTGTCTGTCTGTCCGTCCGTGACCACGTTTTCGTCGACGAGAAAATGCGCTCTCTGTCACTCACTGCAGTGAGTACTGAGGTTTATTTTTTCTCTTATGAGAAGAGCCTTTTGTTAAGCACGTACCTGGTGGTAGCTACATCAATCACATCCATCTCAACACGACCATCTTGTGTGTCAGAACGCATCCATTCTATAACTTAATTAGAACATCCATCATTACTTCATATCCATCCAGTAATCTTAACACAGATATTCTGTATATTACAATATTCATCCTGTACATCACAATATTCATCCTGTACATCACAATATTCATCCTGTACATCACAATACTCATCCTGTACATCACAATATTCATTCTGTACATCACAATACTCATCCTGTACATCACAATATTCATCCTGTACATCACAATATTCATCCTGTACATCACAATACTCATCCTGTACATCACAATACTCATCCTGTACATCACAATACTCATCCTGCTCATCCTGTACATCACAATACTCATCCTGTACATCACAATACTCATCCTGTACATCACAATACTCATCCTGTGCATCACAAACTGACAACCCGACGTTATTCATTGCAAGTTCCTTATTTTCTTTCTTGATTCATAAGAAAGATTCTGCACGCGTCAAAGTCAAATACTGAAATAAAAGATAAATAAGTCTCGAAAATGCGTTCCAATAATATATAAAACATGAGATCAACATCAATCACCAGTTATTCACGTGTAATTAATTTAATTTCCAACAAGAGAGTTAAAAGAAGCGTAGAATATAAATGGCCTGAAGCACTTAAACTTATGTTGTACAGCTTACGAAATCCCAAGACTGATTTATATCTCGTTTGAGCCCTATTTCTGAGTAATTTTAAAGTCTATTTAAGAAAATGTGTCAAGATTATTAATGAACCTCTACAAATTAGGTAGGTCTTTATCAGCACCACGAGTAGGCCTTCAGTTTGCTCCTGTGTTCCACACCGACAACTTATTGTTTATAGTGAACTCTGCTCTCCCTTCGCTAACATTTACTCTGAGTGTCGCACAACACGCACTGGTTTTGTTGATTTAAAGTGAAAATTTCTTGTCAGAAGAACTACTGCAAGAGTTTGACTATCAAATATTTTTCATATTTTAGAAAAGTTCTCTATTTCGGGATTTCTTTAGCTCCTTTGGCTCCTACATCGTATCATTACCGACATGGCCAACACCGATGATGTTCACTTGATGAACTCGGACAACGGTGAGCAACATTTCAATGAATTATAAAATTAAATACTTAACGAGATTCATTCCCTTCACTCGAAAGCTCTGCGGCAGCCATCGTATTCAGTTATCCAAGAACTCGAGCACATTTTAACACCATTTTTGTTTATTTAACACCTATTCACCGCCTGTTTTGTTTATTGTCATCGCTGTGGAGATGGAGCAGGGTAGTAAATGTTGTTGCTTGCAAGACATTAAGGAAATACTGAATACATTCTGAAATTATCGTGCAGCTACTCCTTCATCTTCAACCTGGAACCTACTATATACTAATATTTAATATAATAATAAAATAATGTTACCATGAATGTCAAATTGTTTATAGTGGATTAATGAACACTGAGCGCTTGGTTGGTGTAGGACATGACTAGACGAATGAAGAAGAGAAAGATTACCATGACAGTCTAGTAGATTTATTGGCTATGAGCTAGACCTGAAAGAGTCGCCAGCTTGAATGAAATTTCTGGAGGTAATTCTAATGACTTGGCACCATGAAAATTAAAGTGTTTAATGCAGGTCGCATAGCATAAGTTCCATTTCCTCGGCTGAACTGAACTAGACAACAGAATTCTGTATTATCTTTCTCCCCAAATCAGAGGTATAATAGTTACGCAAGAAGCGTATAATTTTCCATTTTCCTCCCGCAGCCTTCACGGAGTTGGAGCGTTTAAGGCGAGTACTTTTCGTCGAGAGAGTAATTGCGATGTTCGTGTTGTTGCTGCTCATGGCCGTGATGATCTTCAGGATCTGGAACACCGCTGTTTGGATCAAGAAGGCACCAGCCAGTCCCGACAAAGAACAGCGCTAACAGCCGCGGTTCATTATGGGCTCACACGATGACCCATCTTCCTTATAGGCACATAAATTATCCCGCTGCATTGCCTTTGTTCTTAATTGATATTGATAACATTTTACCCTAAATATTAAATTATTAGGTAACTTTTTAATCGAAGGTTTTAATATAATGCTGACAGTGAAATGATATACTGATGCCTTTCATTTTCTCCTTCGAAAAGTTGAAGTTCGAGCTAACTTTGGATTTCGAGTCTTCGGATGAAAGAGATGTTCGCATATAGGTAGACGGAGGGGTATTGTTGCCGAAGCTGTCTTGTAAAGTTTTTGGACTTCGACAATGATACGGAGCGACAGGGCATCTGGTTCGCCAGAAAACAGTCTCATTCAGAGATGGAAAAAAAGCTTTAGCTTCTTAATTTTGAACTATACACCCGTATTTAGAACTGATTTGTATGGCGTTCTGGAAGATTTTTACACTCCTGAGACTACTTGCATCATCTCGCTGAAATTCTTGTTTATTGCTACTTTTTACAACACTTCTCTTTTTAACTTCACTTCTTGTTTGTCTGTCTGTCTGTCTGCAACAAATCTTATAATCGATTTTTAACACACTTCTACCTCTCCAATCGATCTGAAAATTTGCACACTTGCGTATATGTGGAGATAATGCATGAATCGATTGATAGAATAAATAATTTTACAAATTAAATTTTTTTTTCATGTTGGATATTGGAGGCAATGCATGAATCAATTGGCAGAATAAAAATACTTGGAAATTTAAAAAAATTTATTATTAATATTAAAAGAATGAAAAAAATAATTTTGTCTACTACATAACCTATAATCGATATTTATTATTATTATTATTATTATTCCACGAAGAGATTGTCGTGGCGTCTCGTTCAGATCGAACTTCGAGGGCACGTTACAAGCGGCTAAAAACACAAGATGATAAAAACAGATGACATCTATGCTAAAACAGAGGACATATGCCAAGACTGATGACGTCTATACTAGAACAAATAACACCTATGCTAAACCAGTAATATCCATGATAAATTAGATAACGGCTAGGCCTAAGATTCAAAGGCTCTACGGAAAAGTTCTGTTTTTAGGCGTCGACGAAACAAAACACAATTTAACACACATCTACATCTCATTTAACACATATCTACCTGTCCAAGCGATCTAAAATTTTGCACACTTGCTTAAAGTCGGAGACAATGCATGTATCAATAGACAGAATAAATAATTTTGAAAAATTTTGCATCATTTCAATTTAAAAAAAATTAAAAATATTTTTTTTATATATCATAAAGAAATTATAAATTCATTGTACATGTGTAACACCGGAGACGCTGGATTATTGAGAAGTGTTGTCTCTAAAAAGTAATTTTTAAACGCATATTATTATTAAATTATGCTGATAATGTCTGGAACGATTAGCGAAACTAAGGGTAGACGTTTGATCTGCTTTTGAATATATCAGAATTTGTGAATTACATGGATAACTAATTATTATTCTACACAGTAGAACAGCAGAAACGAAACTATAGAAGTATGAGCCTCGTTAAATAAATTCAAAATCATTCCTGTTCATAAGCGCATGCTAACATATCTTCAACTGGACGAAATGTCCAAGTTTTATTGTTAATTGCTTATGAACAAGATTGCAATCAATGTTCGAGTTATGTCTCAAGTATATAATAAAAAAAACAATTTGAGTCATTTCATCTGTTGACGCTTCTCGTGCTCAATTGATTCCATCCCTTAAGGGTACGCACACAGTGAAAGCAGGTTGCCAGCGTGCTGGTTACCTGCTCAGGCTGGCGCCTGAAACCATAGAATACAGAAGCCTATTCGTACAGGTTTTCACTGTGAACACTTACATTATTATCCTATGTTCATTCTTGTGGCAGGTTGGAGCAGGTTGCCAGCGCGGGAAAACCTACTTTCACTGTGTGCGTACCCTAATGCTGTAATAGGAGGAGTCGTCAGGAGACAATGTCATTCAGTAGCCAGAACGTTTATAGACCTATACGACACTACGTAACCATTGAATTCGCTTTTCGTTTCGTTAAGATTATTACCTATTGAAATTTACCTCAGGTCCTCCGATGATTCGGTGAGCTAATTTAGTCTAATGTATTTATTTTGTATGTTATACTCTTGAACCATATTGTTTAATACCACGTTAACCTGTTTATCTCGTATTAGGAAATTGTCGTGTTTTTATGTGCAGAAATTCACCATCAATAAATCTGATAAAAGTGTCGAATCATCTTATTTTCACGAAACTTTTTGGAAACCTTCATATCATCAGTTGATAATAATAAGCGGAATCTGTCGGTCATTTTGTCTGTTGATAATACATAAGAACGCAATTTAAGATTCATCAAATTATTTGCTACTAAAACGGAAACGCAATGTACGAGTTACTGTATCTCTTAAGTTGATGATGAAAATTAACGCATCTATAATAGCCAATATACATCCTGTAGAGTGTAGGCCTACAAAAAAACTCAAAGATTTCGGAATTTCCATCTGGAAATATCGAGATCATCTGTGCCGGGCTAAAGGAATCTAGGATTGTAAAAGGAGACGCCGCGGTGCATCCGGCAACCTTCCTTATTTTTTTTGTGACGATCCTTTTGTTAAGCACGTACAGGGTGGGCCTATATAAGGGACACCCGCATCGAGTAGGCCTTCAGTTTGCTCCTGTGCTCCACACCGACAACTTGTTTATAGTGAACTCTGCTCCTCCTTCGCTAACGTTTACTCTGAGTGTCGCACAACACGCATCGGTTTCTTGGTTTAAAGTGAACATTTTTCGTTAAGTGAAAGTTTTTCGTTAAAGTGAAAAATTTTCGTCAGAAGAACTACTGCAACAGTTTGACTATCAGATACTTTTTTCTGAATTTGAGAATTTTTCTATCTCGGTATTCCTTTAGCTAATACCTCGTATCATTACCGACATGGCGAACACCGATGATGTTTATTCCCTAATTTCAGCCTCTGGTGATGAACAGGCGCTAGTGAGGAACTCGGACAACGCTGAGCACAATTTCAATGAACTAGAAAATGAATTACTGACCGACATTCGTTCTCTTCACTTGAAAGCTCAGCGGCAGCCATCACACTCAATTATTGAAGAACTTGAGAACATTCTATCGTTCATTTTTGTTGACACTGAAACCAAGTACCTCGAAGTTAAAGAGGATTTTACACCAGCAGCTGTAGATATTCTATTATCTGAAATTAAGAATATTATTGACTGCATATCTCCTACAAAATATGGCGAACACAAATACGTCGATTTTGTCGGGTACTTCAACCTGATGGAGGCATACATTCGAGCGATGGCTCTTGAAATTGAAGACTCAATATCCATGCAGAGAACTGGTCTGAACCATGAAGCCAGACTCAATGAAATTATTCAGAGTTTTTATTCAATCTATGACAACGTTGTCAAGGCAGGAGTCATCCTCGGCAACACTCACCACGAATTATGGTCCCCGCTTCTAAAGAAACGCTCGCTGCAAGATATTCTCCCACAATCTGAAGAAGAAGAAGCTTGTCCCGTGTGTTTGGATGTTAACATTACAGAAGATGAGAATTTTGTCATGTTCTCCAGCTGCAGACATCTTTTCTGCCACTCATGCATAGCGCGGTGGCTGCAAAATAAGTGAGTGTTTGCTTTATTGATTTTTGATGCTAATTGTAATTCTATTCTATGCAATTCTTTGTACAGATGATAACTTCTTCTTCTTCGTACTTTGTACTGGTACCATTTCATGAAGATTTTGTGAATTGATTTACCGTTCTTTTTAATTCCTTGTGAGCTTGCGATTTAAGAAAACCAAGAATGTTTACGCTTTCGTTTCATTCAATATAAGCAGTCGGATTTTATGCATTGCTTTGATGTTATTCTGTCATTAACAGGAGTTCATATTCTACCGTTCATATTTTGATTTTTTTTATTGCGGAATATACTGATTTTTTCATTTAATTTTTTCGAAAACATTTTTATAGCCTAGATCAATACTTCAATTTATTTTTATGCAATTACTCATCATGTGCATTTTATTACAGAGTTGTGAATATTAATTTTTTTATTCTCATGTACATTCCAAATATTCAATAATATTTTCTGGGATAAAATTCTCGGCAACTCCATAAGATAGGCACAACAAACAACAATTTTGATATGCATTTTTGTGTTACAGTTCGTCGTGCCCGATGTGTCGTCAGCCTGTCACCCACCGCGCCTGCCGCGACGAATTCCTGGCCTTCAAGGCGGACCAGCGCGCGCTGCAAGCCCTGCACGGCGCAGCGGGGGAAGATGGTGCGAGCACCAGCTAACTGTGATAA